CTTTTTTTTCTTTATTAGTTTCAGCATGATACACCATTTTCCATACTTTTGTGTCTTTGATTAAAAATGGGTTTTTTACAGATGATATAGAGTTGGGCCTTTTTTTTTTAATCACATCTGACAATTTCTCTCTTTTGATTGGGATTTTTGGACCATTTATATTTACTGTGATTAATGATATGACTGGATTAACCTCTCATATTGCTGTTGGTTTTCTATCTGTCCTACTTGTTGTTCCCTTTTACTTCTTTCCCACATTATTTTGGATTATCTTTTATGATTACATTTCATTTGCTTTTTGGCTTATTAACTGTTATTTTAGTAAGTTTCACAGTTTACCTTATTCATCTTTATCACATGCAACCTTTGTGATAATGGTACCACTTCATACAGAAGTAACTTACAACTTTATACTTCCATTTCCCACTAAGTTTCTCATTTCTCTTGGAAAATTTTATCCATTTTTTCTTCAAATATTTTTTTTTTGTCTGTCTTGCTTCTCTCTCTTTCCTTTTAAGGACTCCACTGACACATATATTAGACCACATACAGTTGTCCCAGAGATCACTGGTGCTGTTCTTGCTTGGGTTTTTTTGTTTGTTTTTCAGTCTGTTCTCCTCTGTTTTATTATGGATAGTTTCTATTGCTATGTCTTCAAGTTCACTGATGCTTCCTCCTTCAGTGCTGGTTTCTTGAATTTATAAACTTAAAGCAGTGATAACGGTTTCAGTGTCCTTGTCTATAAATTCTATCATCTGTGTAATTTCATAGTTGGTTTCCATTGACAGATTTTTCTCTTCACTATGGGTCATATTTTCCTGCTTCTTTGCATGCCTTATGGGTTTTTTTTTATCAGATTGCTAGACATTATGAATTTTACTTTGTTGAGTACTAGATATTTTTGTATTCCTCTAAACGTTTTGATTTTTTTTTTTCTGTATCACAGTTAGATTGCTTGGAAACAGTTTCTTTAGGTCTTTTTTTTTTTTTTAAGTTTCACTGGATAGGATCAACACTTAATCTTTGGCTAATGTCTTCTACTACTAGACAAAACCCTTCTGACTGTTCTATTCAATGTCCTGTGGATTATGAGGTTTTCTGTTCTGAATGACAGAAACAGGAACTATTTCTGCCACTATATGTTCCGCAAAGATATGTTTCCTCTAATCCTTGTAGTTGATTCATTCTCCAGCCTTGAGTAGTCTCCTCACATGCATGTACTGATTAGTACCCCTCAACCAAAGATTTGATGGGACCCTCTATAGATCTCTATAAAGGTCTCCACTCTGCTAGTCTGCCCTGTGCACTCTAGCCACTTTGACTTCCCAGACTGCAGCCATGTCTTCTAAACTCAGAGAAACTACTGGGATTTCCTTTCCTGTACCATGGTTTGGAAACTCTTCAGACATTAAGCTGAAATGATCATAGGGCTCACTTTATATGTTTCCCATACTTCAAAGATACCATCCTTTGTTGCCTTATGCCTAATGACTTGAAAGCCATTATTTCCTATATTTTGTCCAGTTTCACAGTTTTTTGGGTGGGAAAGTAAATCCTGTTCCTCTTACTCCATCCTGATTGGAAGAGGAAGTCCTGAAAATACCTTTACCACAGCACTCCCTACATTTGTTTCTGTAACGGACCCTCACAAGACCATACCTTCTTTAAGGCTAGGGAACACACTTTATTTACCACTACACATAAAATACATTCAATTAGCACTGACTGAACTGAGTTATGGTAGAGTGTGTCTCAGTAATTCCTACTCTAGTAAGCATGGGCAAGACAACTCCCTCTTGTCTAATATAAGGTACGAGACTCTGGATTGCTAGGTTCTGATCACACTTCCACCACTAAAGGGCCTACATAATTTTGGACAAAGTACATAATTTCAATAGGTCTCAAATGTGAAATAGAGATAACCTTGTTCATTTCAAAAGTTGGCTGGGAATAACTTTTTAAGGGATTAAAAAAGACCAACCAAAAGGGTTATCAAAAGCAATAACAAGAATCTCTCAGGGAATCCAAGAAATGGCCAGACCTACCAATACCTTTTTGAAGTTACTATGATTTAGTATTCATAAACATTACATTCTAGAATTATAAAACGCTGGAACTGGAAAGGATCCTTTCACATTTTTACAGACAGGAAAACTAAGACCCAGAGAGGTTAAGTGATCCACTCAAGGTCACACGGACAGTCAGTAATAGAGCTGGGATTGGAACTCTTCCTATTACAACACAATGCCTTTCAGTTCAAACCATCATTTTCTTATTGTTTTCATTGATGATTGTTTTTCACTCATTCTTTGATTTCACAATCTCAGTGTGGTGCAGTCCCATGGATGGAGTGGATTACAATGTCATAAATTTTTTTTAATTGTGAAATCCAAAGGTCACTTGCATAACTGTCATGGTAGGCAATAGGAGGATGATTTATAGATGCAGGAAATATTCAGCTGCAAAGGATTCTTCTGGCAATTAATAGTATTCATTCTATGCCACATGCTGGAGTTTAAAGCTGGAACACTCCTAAAAAAAACCCAAGACCAACATGTAACTGTACATTTCACTGTTTAGTGCTCTTGGGATTAAAATGTCACTATGTCTGAGGGCAGAGCCCTGACTGACCAAGACCAAGGTTTGGCAGACAAAAGTAATCCAGGGCAGGAACCGAATGGAGGATTAAAGTCCAGAGGGGATGGATGTTGAGGTGAAATCTACTGAGCTCCCCCTATTGGACAGGCCCAGAAGAAACAGCCCACAAAAAGGGAAAATCAGAAAACATTGTCCTCCAAAACACAATGCAGCACAAGTCCGTGGGCCTCTCTGGAGCTGAGGTTAAGGGGTAAATGAGAAGGGCAGGAAGCCTGGAAGAATCAGGCCCTCATTTTGCTTGAGTTGTGACAAAGAGGCAACATGGTAAGGGGTCCTCTCATTATAATTTCCTGGAGGAATTCTGCAATGTTCAGGATATCATTTAGAATGAACTCTCTGGTTCTGTACTGATGGTGGAATGCAGCACAGTTGCTCCCTGGCTCCTGGAAATTTCTTATAAGTAGATCCTCTGTTAGAGGAGCCCAGCAAAGGGTTCACATGGCCATTCATGCTGTGGTCTTTAAGAATGTCCTGACCCTTAATTGTTCAGTGCACAACCTCACAACTATATGTTGCAATCCTGCCTGGATATCTTGAGACAAGATATACAGACATAGGAGTTATTTGGTGTTCCACATAATTTACTAGGGATGCAGGGATGATGTAAGACTTACCCACCTAGTTAAGTATCTAAACAAAAACATTTCTCTTTTTGGCCAGGATTTGGGTTTCTGATATCTGGTTTGTAACAGTGAAAAGAAATAAGAGGCCAGCTAAGTAGAAAAACATCTTTATTCAGAGGCTGGTAAAAATTGTACATTTACAGGCTGAGGAAAAGAAACCACATATAATAACAGGTGAGTTTATTTGCGTATTTGTACATTAGTCAGGATAGTACGATTATGGTATGGTCATCTAAAAAACCCAAAACTTCAGTGTCATAAAACTACAAAGGTATATGCCAATGGCAGATCAACTGAGGGCTCTCACCCCAATATCCAAGCTCATGGAGCAGCCACTATCTGAAACTTTGCCAGCAAATGTGACAGAAGAGAAAGAGAATACCAAGTTACCACAGCTTCCATCTGGAAGTGACACATGCTGGCTTTAGTTAACATTTACTGGCCTAATCAAGTCTTGTGACCATGTCTGACAGTGCCCAGGAAGTGGAATTTTCCCCACAAGAAGGGGAACTGGCAACTGGTTAACAGTCTTCCACAGGACGGAGAGAAAGGGTTTCAAAGAAGTCAATCTAGAAGAGTGTCCTAATATTTGGGGAAAAGATATGTTATGTTACGTTATATTATGATTTACTCATACATTCATTCATTTAACTAGACTATTACTCTTTGCCAAGCACTGGGTAGTGTCACTTCAGAGCCTGTGCTATTGCCCACTGACTATGGGGCCTGCCCAAGTAACCACCCGTTTTTCTCACCAGAGTGATCTGGTAAGGAAGCTGGGAAGACTATGGCATCAGAAGAGAAATGAGAGGAGAACACTGCCTCATCCAGGAGAGGAAAATGGGACCAGCCACAAACTTCTGAACAAACAAGCTAAAGAACATCAAAAAAACAAAAACAAAAAAAAACGATGCATCTTGCTGCACAAGGCAAAAGAAAATCTGGAAGGGAACAGCAGAGACTGGAGGAAGAAGGAGACCACAGTGAACTACCGAAGTACATCACTGAGGGACGTCTGAGAGGAAGGGAGGACATCAGAGAAGACAGTAAGCCCAAATCAAGGCCTATCCCCAGACACCAGCCATCAACCACCCTCACGTAGGAGTCTATGAACATAGAATACACACACACACACACACACACACACACACACACACACACACACCCAACAGACCAGTGTGCTTCCTGGCAAGGCCGCAGGCCACTCCATGGCCCAGCTGCCCTCCTGGGACAGCCACCATCTTTCTCTCCCTTTTCCATCTTGAATGGCAATTAGGAGAAGGTTAACTGAGTGTCTTTCTCCCAGGAATCCTCTTCCACTTTTCTAAAATCACAGCGTTAGCAAAAGAAAATCCCAGCTTAGGCTAACAGGTAGGAGCGTGGTGCGGCCCTGGGAGCTGCTGTTGGAAGTGGGGAGATTGGGCGAATCTTCCCAGCGGGAGGTTAATACTCATCATTCGGAGTTGCAGCTGAGGCCCATTTGAGTGACAGGCAGCCGGGAGCTGAAAGAGCTGCTCGGATCCCAGAACTGCTGGCATGCAGGCTTGAAAGAGATTTATTTCAGGATAATTAGCTGGGAGTATTAAAGGTGGCCAGGAAGATCCGCAATTACTGTTTAGCAAACAGAAAGGAGACACACACATGCAAAAAAAAAAAAAAAAAAAAAAAGCCAAAAATGAAATTAAAAGACCCAAATTTTTCTCCACTTGAAAGCTGTTGAATAATTGAAAAAAAAAAAAAAAAAGCTCAAAGCAACTTTACTATATTCAGGCACACATATAGAAGTGTCAGAGGGGGAAGGAAGGGAAGAAAAGAAGGGAAAGAACAGAGTCTTGGGTGACAAGACTGATGGCAAAAATAGTCTCTTCGAGCCTGGGTATTTGGGGTACAGAATCTTATGACAAATTGTTCTTATACCAAAAGGAACTTTTCATACCTCTTTTCTTTGTTGCTTCCTTTTACTGATACAAAAAGACCTGTGCCAGCACTAGCATTCCTTCAGCTTAAAAAAAAAAAAACAGATTAAATCAAATCATACTAAAGTGCACATATCTGAAACAAGAAGAGTCACATTTCCTAGACATTTGGAAAGAAGGAAGGAAAGAAAGAAGGAAGGGAGGAAAGCAGGGAAGGAAAGAAGAGGCCCTGTACTTTATCCTCTGTGCACTGGAAGGAATGAGAGGCTTCACCGGGGGCCAGAGGAGCTCGGTCCTGGCACCTTCCAGAGTCAGAGGGCTGGGTATTTCATCCTCCCATTTTTCACTTGTCCACTCTGGCCAGAGACAAGGCTGTCTAAAAAGAAAAACAGCACTCCTTTTACCATAAAGTGACCAAAAATGGGATTTTCTAAATAGCCCTATCAGGGAGAGCCCTATTTCTGATCGGGACAATATGAGGGGCATTTTCTTCTCCATGTCTGGTTACCAACATTAGCCAAGGAGGTAAATGGGGCTGCATCCCTTCATGTACTTTCACTTTTGGAGCACTCCAAAGAGGAGCCCAAAAGGTCCCCGTCCACTCTCAGAATTCACTCACTAGAGATGCATTCCTTCCTCAGGTTTTAAATTTTCCCTCTCAGGTGTTTCCCCATAAAAAGGCTCCTTGGAGAACAGATCTTTAAGTTTTTATGAGCTGAGGTCTTGGCCTAGAGTCTTTCAAAAGCCTTCAGAAATAAATGTCAGGCCCCTGGCGGAGGGATCTGAGGAAAAAGGCACCAGGAGGGCGGGGTGGGACGAGAGTGAGGAAGGAAAAGCAAGGTGGCCTCCCAGATTCCACCTTCTCAAATCTGGTCAAGCGTGAATACCACACTAGCTACTCAGTAAGGCTGGCAGGTTTACAAAGAAAAGACTAAGTCTCTGGCCATGTGTGTTTACATCTTGCCGAAAAGATCCGCAGAATTTTAAAACACATAAAACAATAGTTTATATTATTTATGGAAATATATATATGGTAAAAGTATAAAAGTATGCCCAGCAATGATACACACAAACTTGCCAGAGGACGAGAGCCTAGGACTGTAGCTCTGTCAAGTCTTTATTCTTTAAAACAAGGTAATAACACCAAAGGGAAATAAAGAAAGGTAAACAGCTTGAGAATTACTACAGAGGGAAGCCTGATTTGCCACACATTCAAGTGTTCCCAGGAAGTGTCACATTCGAAGGTGTAGGATTCATCAGGGAAGGTTCTGCTCCCACTCACAAACAGCCTCCATCTCCCATGACTCCCCTGGTTACAATGCCAGTCCTGACTTCCCAGTCCATGTTGTGTAGCCACAGAGAAAAGTCTCTTGTTTTTCAGGTCTTACCTTCTTCATAAGATCACAGATTCCAGTGGGGAGAATGTCTTCTTCTGCCTGCTCAGGATTCCACACTGAGCCTGTCATATAGCTGGGCTCCTGCAAGCATGTGAAGGTAGAACAGAATTCTGGGAGGAGAGGAGGTTCAGTTTTTCAGGCAATTAGGAATAATTACACAGTTTAAGGATATTCACTGGAGCACTGTTTACAATTTATTTTAATAAAATCACTTGTTCTTTGTTTTTTTTTAAGATTTTTTTATTTATTTACTTGGGTAGAGGAGAGCAAAAGCAGGGGTAACAGCAGAGGGAGAAGCAGACTTCCCACTGAGCAAGGAGCCTGACCCGGGGCTCAATCCCAGGACCCTAGGATCATGAGCTGAGCCGAAGGCAAATGTTTAACCGAATGAGCCACCCAGGCACTCCTGTTTACAATTTAAAAAATGGAAACAATTAAATATTTATCAATAGGAAATAGTTTATATGAAGTAAGGCATATCAATAATGTGGAATTTTTTTAGATTATTTATTTGAGAGAGAGAGCATGAGCAGGTGGAGGGGCAAAGGGAGAGGGAGAGAGAATCTCAAGCCGACTCTGGGCAGAGCCGATGCAGGGCTCCATCTCACATCCCTGAAATCATGACCTGAACCAAAATCAAGAGTCGGCACTTAACAGACTGAACCACCCAGGTGCCCCAGTAATATGGAATATTTTACAGAATACTTAGAAGAGTAAGAGTTATGGCAAGTTATCCAAGATGTAGTAAATGAAAAATGCAAGTCCCACTTTAAACACTTGAACACTCAAAAAGAAAAAAACAAACAAACAAACAAAAAAACCACTTGAAGCACTTAAAACGATACATACAGTACATAAACATTTTTACATGTTATTAGAGCTGGACAGCTATATACAGTATCAGTCATTATTCTAACCTGTATCTCCTCACTCCCTACGCCCCTATGTATACAAACGGGTCATACAAAATGAAAATGTCCATGTGGCCCTTCCAGCCTTTGGTTTACTTTGGTTACTAAATGATCTAAACGACACAGGAATCATATTATCTTTAGGCATGGGAGTCTTTGTAGAAGAGCCTGGTGACTCAAGTGCCTCCTTGGGCACATGAGACAACTTACCCCTCCCGTAGGCCCTGTCCTTGCCCAAGGAAAAAGTAAACGTATGGACAAGGTCCCATCCCATAGAAGCTATCCCTGATCTTGGGGCCTCTCCCTATCTCCCGATCTCAGAGCCTCTGCCTCCTTTCCAATCCTACCATGCCCCCACCCCCAGTTGCTGGAGCTTTCAGAAAGGGAAGCTATGGGCAAGCAATTTCAGCTCAGACGTCACAATACAAAGCTGGCTCCTCCTTAGAATGGGAGAAGAAACAGTAAGAATGGAATACAAATTAATCTCAATAAATTATCCTGCTATGGAGAGATGGACAGATGGAAGGAAAAAAAGGATAGGGTAGGATACGATACGATACGGACTGGGTCACAGCGTCAGGATTCTTTAGAAACAGAAACAACAGGATGTATATATGGACAGAGCAATGTATTAGTTCTACTGAATTGGCTCACGTAATTGTGGAGGCCTGGAAAGTCCAAAATCTGCAGGGTAGGTCAGCAGGCTAAAGACCCAGGAAAGAGCTGCAGTTTGAATCCAAAGGCAGTCTTTGTTCTATTAGGGCCATCAACCTGACTGGATGAGACCCACCTATATTATGGACGGGGACCACCTTTACTGGAAGTCTACCAATTTAAATGTTAATCTCATCTGGGCGCCTGGGTGGCTCAGTTGGTTGAGCAACTGCCTTCAGCTCAGGTCATGATCCTGGAGTCCCGGGATCGAGTCCCACATCAGGCTCCCTGCTCTGCGGGGAGTCTGCTTCTCCCTCTGACCCTCTTCCCTCTCGTGCTCTCTATCTCTCATTCTCTCTCTCTCAAATAAATAATAAAATAAAATCTTTTAAATGTTAATCTCATCTAAAAAACTCCTCCACAGAACATCCAGAATAACGTTTCACCAAAGGTCTGTGCATTCTGGCCCAAGCTGACACATAAAATTAAGCATCACAAGTAGATAAAGAGGAAGACAGGCATGTAGCTGTGGAAATACATGACAGAAATAGACAAGAGCTAGAGAGAGGAGACAGATACATAGTCTCTGGAAAGAACTACTTCCACAGTGGTTATTCTGGGAAGAAATGAAATATATTTCTTACTTGTTAAAATGTTTTACAATGAGAATGTACTAATACATTATTTGTGGGTGTGTGTTTACATTTTTTTTTTTTTAAAGAACAAAGATTCTGGAGGGAAGGAAGGGAAAAGAATGCTATTTATGCCTTCAAACTGCTGACAAAGGAACTCTGCTGTCCTCTACTGCTCCTTTGTAGAAGGGGTTAGTGCTGCTGTCACCTCTCAGATGCCAGGCGGGGTGTAAGGCACTGGGTGCGGAGAAATGAATACAACAAAGGAAGCCCCAAACTCATGGAATCTACATTTACATCATCTCATTTCAACAAGTCTATAAAGTAGGCACTAATGTCCTGCTTTTGCAGATGAGGAAATATGGACTAGGTGATATTAAGAAAATGTGTCTAGGTCACACATGTTCCAGAACCTTATTTCGTCTATCCTCAAAATCTCTCGCTCCTCTTGGGATGAACACTGGACTCCCTTGGCAAAGGGAGTCTGTGTCTCTTGGATATTAGCACAACAAGCATGTTGCAGCTTTTTCAAAGAGATTTCCATTTCCCTTCAGCAGCAAGATAAACTTTCCATCGCCTGCAGCTCCTGGGCCGTGGCTGGCAGCGGCTATACCACAGGCGTGCCAAACGCAAAGAAAGTTCGAAGGACAAACGCAGCCAGAAAGCATCAGAGCTTTCCATCCAGCTTCCAGACTTATTATTTCTTATTATTTCTTGAGAGCGTCCACTGCTCTTTTTAAACAAGGGGCCTATTTTGTGAGCTGCTCAATGGTCTATTTTAAACTCATGGCTGTGTTTGTTTACATTCAATCCCAGGCCTTGCCCTTTGCAATAAACCGTCACTGGCATCGTGCAGAAAAGCATCGTGGAGACTGCCATATCACTGTTTACAGCTTTCTCACTTGAAGAAAAGGAATGGAAATCGAATATTTGCAATTGTCCCAATTCTGAGAGGGCCCTAGAGAAGAAAGATGGTGCCAAGCGTACAAGTCTAAGGATTCCTGGGGCAGCAATGAGTAAGTAGTACAGAGGCACCAGAATGGAAGAGAGGAGAAGAAGAAACTTGACAACTTATTCAACAAACACTTACTGAGCACCAACTATGGTATGTTTGCCAGGCACTGTTCTAGGTACCTGAATACAACAATGAACACAACAAAGAAGCTGCCCTCAGGAACTAACATTCTCTTGAGGGGAAGCAGATAACAAACAATAATTAATAATACATTATATTATATATATATATATACATATATGTTATATGTATGACAATATGTTAATAAAAATAATTATTAATAAATATGTTGGAGAAATATTAGGTGCTGCACATGAGAAGCCCAGGCCTTAATGTGACATTGGCCAATCATTTAGAAGTTGTGACATCTGAACTCTGAACATTGTTGGTCTGATTTTATCACCTCCTTAATCCTTTTCATCACCTTGGCCCAAATCTCTGCTCACCAAGGCTAAGCTACAGCATGACCGGGAAGGAAGCCAGGTTGATCCTCAACACCCTCTAGCCCCTTCCAGCCTTTTGCCCACAGCAAAGCTGCAGTCTCCACACTGACACCCAGCAGGCCCTCTCCTCTGCTCTAGGACCCTCAGGTCAGGGAGAGAACAGGTCGCTACAAACACATGTTTTACTCTGTATGGGCTCTGGCTTACCTCTTGCAAGTATTTGCTGTTCAAATGTGAAGCCCTCTCTCCTCCAAGGGCAATGCTTAACCCAAAAGCCTACCCCTGGTGGAGGAATTTTATACTTTGTGAAACCTGAATAAGCAAGATATTTGTAAGCCAAGAGACCTTCTGGGCACTCTCCCGGGATCATATAAATCTCCCTCTCTGTCCCTACATCTGCCTCTTGCATCCTTCACTTGTCAAATGTCATGTTTTCCAAGGACTAGCAGTCACTATGACATGGGAGTAGGGAGGGTGAGAGGAAGCAACAGAGACAAAGAGACATCAGAAAACCTGCACATTTGAGCAAGACATTTGTTAAGAAGGTCTTTGAACCCCTCAGGGAGAAGTCCATCATAGATCTGATCCCATGGTCTATGCAAAGGGACCCCCACACTGCAGTGATGTTTTTGACAAGACCTGTGATTGATCTGCCGGTTCACTAATGAATGGACCTGGAATTGCACATTGCTTTGGCTCTAGAGAAAGCATATGATTACAGCATGCATAGTGGCAAATGCTATAATTAAAGATGCAAAACAGGGTTCATTACACACCCATTTTCAGTGCTTAGAACTTTCTGAAACAGTTTCCTTTTCAGAAGCACCATCTGCAGGTGATAAGCCTCAGGAGACTTTCTTTCACCCAGGACATACCAAAAAAAAATTAAAGAGTAGGACTGGGGTAGGGGAAGGGAGCTTACAAATCTTTAGAATGAAAAAAAACAGAAACAAAACAAAAACCAAAAAGGAACCTACCTTGTCCAGTGAAAAAGTGCAAGAAAGATGGACACATCTCTCAGAATAGGGACCCGCATAGCTGGGTCTGGAGAGTTAGGACAAATGCTGGCTTGCGTTCAGAAGGCAGCACTTGGAAATTATATCATAGCTCTGAAAGATCGCATCTCAGAGTAGATCACTGTAAGACACGGTTTGTCCTGTGATACTAGGTTCACAGCAGTTTCTACTGAGCCATTAAAAAATGAGTAAAATAACTATAATCAGAACAAAGACAAAAACACCCATTGTGAATGTATAGCACACCTTCCCCACCAAAAGCACCAAATAAATTGCTTGGATGTACCTGACGTCTCTGAGTTAGAGCAGACAGAGGAAATGGTCCTTATTTTCCAGGTGGGGAGAGGAAGGTAATGACGTACAGAGAGGTTAGGTGAGCTGCCTAGGGAGAAGGAGCAGGCCAACAGCCAAATCAGGACCAAAACTGGCACTCCTGATGCCCAATTCAGTGTTCATTCTCCTCAGACTGCACTGTCTCAGAGATGTCAAACACATTATGCAAGAATATCAGGAGTCTGTGTTGAGGCAGAAAAGCC